TTATTATTATTATTATTATTATAAAATAATAGGTACTACGACACCGAAAGTTACTACGCAAGCTGATTACTATTATCATTGTATTATTATATTATAATGATTATATTATTATTATTATTATTATTATTATTATTATTATTATTATTAATATTAATAGGTACTATGACATGGAAAGTTACTACACAGACTGGAACTCCAGATGGGGAGAACTCTTATTACTATTATCATTGCATTATTATATTATTATATTAATTTAATCATTATTATTATTATTATTATTATTATTATTATTATTAGTATTATTATTATTATTATTTTCATCATTATTATCGTTAGTAATATTATCGTTATATTTTCTCTATTATCATTATCATTATATTATTATTAGTGATATTATTATTATCATTATCATTACTGTATTATTATTATCATATTATTATTATTAGTATTATTATATTATTATTATTATTATTATTAATAGGTACTATGACACCGAAAATTACTACACAGACTGGAACTCCAGATGGTGAGAACTCCTATTACTATTATCATTGTATTATTATGTTATAATCATTATATTATTATTATCATCATCATTACATTATTATATAGTATACAAATATTGACTGCTCATGAGGGGAATGGTGAAATTTTTTGCCCCGATGTGATGTGGAGACCGTAGCCTATCTTTCCGAGGAATTTGTCTTCTGGCGCTTTTGCTATCTGCTTCATCAAGAAGTAATGCTATGCCTAGGCAAGTCCTCCCTCATCTCGAAACGAGCACCCCCATACTTGTTTATCGTCTACTCGCTGATCCGTGGGGGGGGGGGGGATAATTTCGTCGTAGAGGTCGCAGTCCTCTTTGTCAGCCTAGATGTAGGGCCTAGTGGGCCTAGAGTTGCAAGGCACCTCGCGACAGGTAAAAAAGTACTATTTTTAGGGGAATATAGCTTTCTATTGCCCCGCTTCCAAATCAGATGCCTATACTAGAATCTATATGTATGAGGTATATAATAGGTACTACGACACAGCCTGTTACTACAACTACACAGAATAGAATTCCAAACGATGAAAATTCTTATTACTATTATTACTATATTATTATCATCATATTATTATTATTATTATTATTATTATTATTATTATTATTATTATTATTATTATTATTATTATTATGGTGAGAACTCTTATAACTATTATAATTGTATTATAATCATTATATTATTATTATCATTATTATTATCATTAATATTGTCATTACTGTATTGTCAAATTACTGTATTATTATTAGTAATATTATTATTATTATTATTATTATTTTTATTATTATTATTATCATCATCATTATTATTATAAATAAATAGGTACTACAATACCGACTATTACTACACAGACTGGAACTTCAGATGGTGAGAACTCTTATTACTATTATCATTGTATTACTATATTATTATTATCATTATATTATTTATATTTTATTATTATTATCATCATTACATTATTAAATAAGAGCTAATACGGCACAGCCTGTTACTACAACTACACAGCCTAGAACTCCAAACAGTGAGAATTCCCATTACTATTATCGTTAGGCCTATATTATTATCATTACATTATTATTATTACTATCATTATTATTATAAAATAATAGATACTACGACACAGCCTGGTACTACGAGTACACAGCCTAAAACTACAACAGGTGAGAATTCTTATTACTATTATGATTATATTATCATCACCATTATATTATTATCAACATTACTGTATTATTATCCTCATATTATTATAATATTCTTTTAAATATCTGATTATTGTTATCATTATTAATATTATGTTCCGATTAGTTATAACAACACAGGAAACACCATCTGAGAATACGATCATAATCTGTACAGCAGCAATCTGCACATGTACATTTCCTCAGCAGACGGACCCATATGTTATCTGGGAATCCGCATCTTTAGGAGATTCTGATTTTTCGGAATTTAAGGCAAATAATATTACAGGAGACCATTCCAACCACACACTGGAGATGAAGTATGTGCCGTTGGAATCACAAGTCAGTATATATTTATATATTCTTTACTCATTATTTTATGCGTATTCATATCATCAGGATTAATGATATTGTTGGTATTATTAATTAGTGGTCTGATGTTCGAGTTTCTTACAGTTAATATTGGTCAAAGTTACAGGTTCAAACAGCTTTTGATAAACAGCAATAATATGTGTATATCAGACAACAGCTTTTTATATATATATACATATATATATGTATATATATATATATATGTATATATGTATATATGTGTATATATATATGTATATTGCTTTGCTCAGACTTTTTGGATTGTACGTGATATATTATTAACTTAAGTGAATTACATAGCTGCATAGCTTTTCTGCGATGATATTCGTTTGCTATAGCATATTTTGCCTAAATTAAAATCAGATGTTGGATATATTCATCCAACATTTGTTTTCCATTTTACAGAACAACCACTAATTAAACTCTCTTCGCTCACGACCCCGCCCTTTTCTTTTCATCATTGAATCCGTACCTGGGACCCCAACTGTGCAATAGTCATGATGAACTCTGGATCCGCGCCTGCATAC